TCGTCTGAGGGGCGCTTGAATGTAAGTGGAGCCTCGTTTTCGTCAAAGAGACGGGCCAGTGGAACCTCGTTTTCAACAAAGAGACGTTTGAATGCGAAGGGAGCATCGTTTTTATCAGAGAAATGATTGAAAGTGAGGGGAGCCTCATTTTCAGCAGAAAGATGCTCAAAGGTCAACGGAGCTTTTTTTTCATTAAGAAAATACTTGGAAGCAAGATCAGCCTCGTTTTTAGCAGACAGATCATTATCGTGACTCCGTTGTTCTTCTTTCCCCTGAAATGATGCACCATTGTTTCCGAGAGGCATTCCTCGTCCATTAGCCAGCACTAACAGGAGAATCAAGACTTTCATATTGTTCTGTTGAGTTGAACAAGAAAAATCAGCGGTCATCAAAGATACTTTTTATAACGTAATGTAAGGAGATGTTCTAACTAGGGGACTGGGGCCCATTAAAATGGAGAAAATTTGTCCTTGGTGAGAGGGATATAGCCCCAAAAGTCTTTTGGAAGCGCTTATGAAGTAAAATATCAGCTTTTCTTGTCTAATAAGGCACATGAAAAATAGATTGGTTGAGTGATCTGTCAAGTTTCATAGGGTTTGCGGAAGCTCCGATATATCAAGCATGACTGGCCCAGACTTTGTCCCCAATAGGAAAAGCCAGAAAGTCAGAGTGTTCATGTGGTAAAAGCTTGGCTCATCCAAAAGGCTCGTAATTCATCTCAACTGTCACGTTCCACAAATGCCAAACTTCAGAGTGTGTGACTTTTCACCCGTGGTTACCCAGGTCCCAGAGCCAACTTTGCGATTTCTCGTGCAAACAGTTGGCTCTTTACATTAAGAAAAAAAATAAAACCAAGTTCCCTCGCCTAGGGTGGCGTTGTGGAGGGTAGCCAGGAACATTTTTTTTCTACCATGCATGTATCTTTTACTGTCTCCTAATTCGGATTTTTATCGTAATTTAAAGTTTCCTGAAATTTCAGTTGTATGGGCCAAATTTCTTATCTCATCAATGAATAAAAGAAGCGAGTTTGGCAATGTAAAACGAAAAAAAAAAAACAGTTCGTAAATCTTCGTTCTAGAGGTTGTTCATCATCTCCGTATATTCTAAAGTTTCGGTATTTTCTCTTTTTTAATAACGTTCCTTTGAATTGCTGAATTAAGGAGTATAGCATTGTCACTTGATATTTTCGCAAATGAATCTCAGACCCAACCGTGATATTAGAAAAAATATTCTTTGCATGACTTGACTAGAAAAAACTTCGACAGCAGCAAAACTGAAACGGAGTGAGGAGTGTGGCCAAATGAATAAGCCGTATCAGCTGTGTTGCACCTTCCATGTAAGGACATGGAACACCGCTTTGTTGTTTATTTCATAACATGTACTAAATTTGTTATGTTTAAAAACTCCCAAACAATTCCTATTCGGCTAAGTCACCGTTGCTAATTAATTACTTCTAATTTGGCGGCTATTTTCAGAAGAATGCTGAGTGATTGACACTAACGCTCTCTGGGTCAAAAAAAAAAAGTGTTTTTGTGGAGTGAAATCATCATATTTTATTTTTCTTAACCACAGAACATCACTTTTAATATCCTAATTTTCTAAAAACATGAATTTCTTTGTTTGAAATAGCTGGTGAAGAATTAACTAAGTGTAAGCAATGTGTCAAGTTGGCTGCTTTATGCGAAAGAATTTGAATAACTCTCAGCAAAAACAAAATCACACCATTTGAGTCCAAATATAGCTATAGGTTCGTGCAGTAGTTCGATTGTCAAGTCGGTAGAGTCATCCTGCTAGCGATTGTAATTCATCAGCAAATTTCCCTCATTCTACCAAGAATGGCAAAGAAATCAAAAACGACTTCTACGTCAAAATATAGCACAGCACGCTAGACTTAGGATAATCATCACGTTTTTGCCTAAAGAAAGAATTTGATTCGAGTATTTAGGCTGTTTATCTGAGATTTGGCAATTAAATATCATTCAATTTTCTACTTGATATTTTTGTAATGGGACAATGAGCTTACAATTTTTTAAATTCGGAATGCGTGTTTTGACTGAGAAACGAAATCTGATTCACCGAAAAAGTGTGATATCTATGAATTACGAAAATCTGAAAGTACTCAGTGTTTTTGGTGCACTAAATGTTTTAACCTTCTAAGCTGGGGGCTAAAATATTGCTTACCAAGATAGATAACAGCTCGTTATTTCTTCACCGGCGCTGTTTTCGCTCCTGAGCTCAGTAGTTCTGTGGGAAAAACGAATGATATGGGGAGAACTTCTCCTATAAATAATTTAATCGGTCTATTGCCTAGCAACGTGCAAACACAGATAAACAAGAAATAACCTGTTTATGTCCGGTTTTTATTGTTGTGTTCACACTGACGTCACTGTTGAAGTCCCCGCCCAGCAACCCTTAAATACAAACAGAATTGGTCACGAAAGAGACAGTACTTGATGAATTACCATTTTCTTACTTTCCATATTAAAAGAAGGGTAGAGCAAAGAAAGAAAAAAAAAAATGAGAGTTAAAAGCTCCATCAATATGTTGCAAGAGTTCTTAACTCCATGGTGACAGAAAGGGCTAACAGAAAGGGGAGATGAATAAGTATGATGGGATTCAGAAAAGCAAAAAAAAAAAAAACGTTTGATATTAGAGGGACACTGTCACCATTTTTAGTATGATTTTGGAAGTCTCAAGAACATATATCGATCATTGGAAGCTGAAGAACATGGTTTTATTTTGTAGAGTGGGACTTTTTCAAATGATGAAACCCAATAAGGAAGTGAGGATTGCTAACGATGGCGAGGATGGAGACGGATTGCGATATGGATTTCTAAAAAGTCGTCAAAGGTTCAAGCTTAAGTTTGGCTTGAAAATCGTTGAATTTTGCAAAAATGTTGCTGCGGTGTGGACTTTTTTCAAGAAATTGCTTTTAATCATTTAGTTAGAGCTAATTGGTTCTTATTACATAGACTGTTTCAGGACCATTTCAGTGTCCCTTTAAAGTCTAAACTCTTGTGGCTAATGGTTCAGCGGAAAGGTTTACCAGCGGCATGAGAAAGGCAATATATAAACATCTGTCTAACAATACAGTTGAAGGAATAGTGATGTGCCTGGCTGGGGAAGTTGTGTTGTGCTGAGGAATATTACGTCACTTAATTAATCATCGCAGTGCCTTTGTTGCACCGATTATACATGATTACCGGCAAATTGTAGCACAACTTGACAAAATGCTGCGGAGACTTTCGAGATTGGGCGCGAGTCGCGCATCGTTCCCAATGCTCCGGGCCTTGAAATTTTCACGCTCGTTTCAGAGGCGGTTTCACCAAATGAACTTTAACATGGACTGTCTTTCAATCTAGTGTTCGTGGCACGAAGCCGTCAAGAAAATTGTTGCTCTCCTAGGTCGAAAGTCACTTCACATAATTTTGTTCATCTCCGCTGTCTCTTGCCCTTTCTGTTGCCATGGAGTTAAGAACTTTTTGAAGATCTTGATGGAGCTATGAATTCTCATTACGTTTTACTACACACGTCTTTTAACGCTGAAAGTAAGAAAATGGTAATTCAGCAAGTGCTGTCTCTTTACTGGTTTTGGTTGCTGGGCGGGAATTACAACAGTGACGTGCGAATCACAACAATGAAAACCGGACATAAACAGGTTATTCTTGTTTATCAGTATTTAAAGGAGAGTAGAAGTTCTCCCAAAACCACTGATTCGCCGTCTCTCACACAGAACTACTGAGCTCAGCCTCGAAAACAGCGCCGGTGAAGAAATAACGAGCTGTTATCTGTTTTGGTAAACATTATTTTAGCTCCCAGCTTTAAAGGTAATTCATTTCAAATGCCTAAAAAAAATTCAATACTTTCAGATTTTCGAAATTCATAGATATCACATTTTTTTTAGTGTATCAAAATTTGCTTGTCAGTCACAGGCAAACACGCATTACCAATTGTAGCTGTATATCATGTAGAAAATAATATTCATTTGCCAAATCTCAGATAAGAGCATAAATACTCTAATCACACTCCTTTCTTTAGGCAAGTCTAGCGTGCAGTGCTATATTTTGACGTAGAAGTAGTTTTTGATTTCTTAGCAGAAAATTCTCGGTAGAATGAGGAAAATTTGCTGATTAATTATAATCGTGAGCAGGGTGACTCTACGGACTTGACCATCGAACTACTGGACGAACCTATGGCTATATTCGGACTCAAATGGTTTCGTTTTCTTTTTGCTGAGATTTATTAAAATTTCCGATTTCTTTCGAATAAAACAACCGACTGGGACGTTGCTTGCACTAGGTTAATTCTTCACCAGTTATTTCCAAAAAAAAAAAACCCATCGTATTTTCAGAAAATTGGCGTAATAAAAGTGATATTCTGTGGTCAAGAAAAATAAAATATGATGATTTCACTCGATAAAAACACTCTTTAACCCAGAGCTCAAGTGTCAATCACCTCGGCAGCTCTTCGGAAAAAAGTCGCCGCCAAATTACAAATAATTAGCAACAGTAACTTTCCTTTTGATGTTTGATTTAGCCTAATAGCGTCATTGTTTGGCCGTTACAAAACATCACAAAATCAGTACATGTTATGAAATAAACAGCAAAGCGGTGTTCCATGTCCTCATATGGAGTGTGTAACACAGAGCCATCCATTTTGTTACGGCTTACTCATTTGGTCCCACTCTTCAATCTGTTTCAGTTTTGCTGCTGCCGCAAATTTTTTCTCGTCAAGTCACGAAAAGAAGATTTATTCTAAAAGAGTGCGAAATCGGTGTTGTTTCTTTAATTTAATTTCGATACGAAAAATTGTTGGTTGTCAGCTTCACTTGCAAGAAAAATTACTCCCTGATTTAGCAATTCAGTGCATTGTTAATAAAAAGAAAATCTAGAC